GAGGTTTTCACTATATATATATATATATATATATATTTATTTAGGTAGAGAAAGATTCAGGAAGTAAACAGTTTTTCATTTAGAAATTTTCTCTCATGTAGAAACTTTTGTGCTCGAAGTTTTAAATTTATGTCAACATCCTCAATTTCTGCTCAACTCAAAAAAATATGGTAGTTGATTTTGAAATTTGGTTTGCTTCTTTCTCTTATTAATATTCTAGAGTTTGATTCCTGTCCTTTGACAGTCCGTCAAAGGAGTTTTATAATCTGTTTTCATTCTACAGTTTATTTTGACTCCTCTTCTGGTGCTGATATTTTTCTCCTTATGCTGGATATTGTGTATATAGTGTTAAAGTGAAGTAAATCGAACAACATACCAATACGGATGTGTATTGCCCGTAAGTCTCAGAAGGATTAAACTGAGGAAGATGGAGCTGGATCTCAACAGCATCACATGGGGACATATTGCCGATTGCGCATAAATAAGTTAGATCGAATGCTTTATATACGTTTGGAGCATTCGGTATCAATTGTTAATGTGACTGTTCATACATGGATACGAGCAACTGAATAGTGTAAATCATACATCGAAGAAATCGATATCCATGGTTCATATTAGGCGAATGCGCACTTATCATTAACACAAATGTGTAAGCACCAATAAATGTATATAAATTTATGGATAAAAATTTAGAAATTAACTCTATGGATACTTCCTACTTGGATGCCTACACTATTCAAAGTGACTTTGGATTCTGTAATATACAGAACATCGGTGTGGATAAGCTCTTTTTAACCGCATGTACAATAATATCCCGAGAATCATGCGGACACAGACAGGCGTCCACAGCACAACGCGAAGACCATTTGACAACGACCAACTAAATTTAGGAACAAAGGATAATGTTTGATTATCTTTTGCAGGAACAAGAATGAACAAACAGGAATTCTTTAAGTTGTCAAGCTAGACTGGTCATCGGCAACGGCAGTGCTCAAGTGGGGAGCTTGCCTCGGACATGCCTCCGTCAGATGTGGCCATGACCTCCAAAAGGGTGGCGTAATTGCTATTTTTGCGAGAGATAATTGGGGTCTTTTAGAGCATGGTCAGCGTCCAGGTACTCAAGACGGTCGCATTCTGTCCTTGACATGGTGATTAGAATTTGGGCCTTGGTCTCTTCGAGTTGACCTCGATAACGGGCTTTCACCAATTGCCCTAAACAGTGCATCGCATCCAAACAATTTTCATGGGCATGGGTCAATCAGGTTCGGATGAATACTAGAAGTTAAAGCCATGAGTTTATAGCGTATCATTCCCTCACTGAGGAGACAAAAAGCTCATTGACAACAAACAAGGGATTCTCTTTTGCCTATCCAGATAAGTTCAAATTTAGACCTTGTTGACATACTTTTCCAAAGTTTCTCTTGGCATCATTTCTCTACTCAATTGGGTTGTATACCACTATGACAACGGTCGAAAATGTAGTTTTGATGTAATCACATTTGTCCTTTACGTTACTGCAGTAAAATTATGTGATGAAAAGGATGATGGGGCAAAAAAGGTAAACATAGGGTAGAACAAGTAGCCTAATAAGAGTGCACTTAGATATTACTAGGAGGGTCAAAAAATACCTTTTACAGTTATTCCTCATTCCCCCTTTCCCTAAATGCACAGAGCATTTTGCGTTGTTGTGTCCTAGCCATAGCATTTGTACAAGGTTTAAGGAGTAAGTCTCAGATATTGGCCATGTATCGTTTGTGAAAAGGTTGAGTTATCACTCTTTCTAAATAAGAAAGAATAATTATCCTGTATTGAGCCAAACCCAATGCAGAGAACAAACCATTGTTAACGTACGAGCAACGAGATAAGTTTCCTTTAAATTTTTTGTATATCTAGAAAATGAATTGGCATTGATGCTTGTACCATAAAAAAAGAAAAAGAATTGCGTCAAAGTATGGGATGGTCCCAAAAGTGCAGGTAAATATCAAAGAGTAGGGTGGAGAGTGGACTTTGGATCACCTATAGTAGAAAGTCCAGATTCGAAAGAAAGACCCCGACTGTCAAGTCAGCAAGTCAAGGAATCTTGAAGTCCGTTAAGGATTTGTAGAGATGGGCAAAGACCTGGACATATAAATGGTAATAGACCAAGCCCAGGGGACCCAAAGGTTCAAAAGGCAGAAAAACGAGACACAGTTTATTATATAAACATGTAATAAACTTGACATGAAAACTGGATTTCCATGAAATAATAACAAATCTCAGGTCATTATAAAGCAAATCGAGAATTTTAATACGTGCTGATGTTTCTCTATTGACTATGCAAGAAATCCTATGCATTTTATGCATATGAGCCATTTTTGTCCAGCCCATTCCCAGAATTCATAAGACAAAAGTAAATATTAAGTAAAGTAATTGGAAGGCCACGTCAAAGGATGCCAATGCACGATACATTATCAACTACGGATGGATCTGTATTTGTTATATCTAAAAGCAACAAGCGAAAAATGTGGATCCAAGCAAGATACGAGATACTCTACTTAGAGAGAATGGGTGAATATGTATCAATTTGTATTTATTTAGATCACAAGGTGTTTCTCTAGGAAACATGCGTTGAAAAAAGATCAAAAGCTAGAGGGATTCTGAAGGAGAATAACAAAAGCAACTAGAACTCTAAAAAGTTAAAAGAAATTGGCACTGGAAAAAAGTTGAAGAGAATATCATGGGGAATAGAGCAACTTGAGGATATCTAGCAATACCTTTTCTTTTGGGTATGATGCATAAGAAATTCATAACCTCATACTCCTTTTGAAAAAAAGCAAACTTCGTGGAATGACTACCTCTATGTGGAATCTGAAGCCTAAGCAAATGAGGATGTTAACGCATTTTTGACTTCTAGAAGCAACTCTGCATGTTCGTTTTTAACGATCAGCCTTTAGACTTTTCGAGTATGCTAAGAAGGCTGGATTCAAAATTTTGAAGCAAAGGGACTTTTAGAGATAAAGAAGTTAATACTGGAATCTTTTAATATGTATAATACAAAACCTCTTAAAAAAATTATACTAATGAGAATCGTCTATGTAATAGGTCCAGATGTCTGGTCATTTCCCATACATATGTTTTGCCAAGATTAGAACAGGTAGACTGCATTACTACTTGTAAGCCGAATAAGGCTTGAAATGTATTTGAATTTAGGATATTTCCATACCTTGTTGTGATCAACCAGAGATTTCGATTTGATCAGATTTTGGTTTCATTTGAAATGTTCCTACGAGGTTGGATCTGCTTTTTTTTTAAAAATCAAATGAAAGTCAAGATTAAAAAGAGAAACTACTATGTGGAATCTAATGTTTCTTGATGTAACTTAGTTGAACCCGTTGAATGGTGGAAGTTTATTCGAGTCCATGTATATGCGATCATGGTATTGAAAGCATGAGAAATGTGCCCTTGTTAGATAAGAAAAAGCAAAGTACGAAGTACTCACTACATACTACGAAGTACAGAAGTTTCACTACATACATACTTTGTTTCCTAGTTTCAGGTGACACTATTACCTTTCTTTGACACTTTGCTCATATGATAAGACATGCAACTATTATTGCATATATGGAGACTGGAACAATTTGAGGGAGATTCTAACCAAAAGGTTCATGAAAGGGAAATTGAAGCCTAATTTACAAGAATGTATAATCCTTTTGAACTGAATGAAAAATACATCACTTCATGAAGATATGTTTCAGAGAACCAAACTTTAGTGTAAAATATTTAGGACAACAGATTATACGTAAATTTAGATTTTGTCTCTTCAAAAGGTAAACAACGTTGTACCTCAAGGGGCTTCAAAAAACCAATAGAATACTTAGTCTGGATTCCACCCAAGGGAAATATGTTCGTTTCGGAACCTGGAAACGCTTCATATTGCGTGCCCTTTAGATCACATCATAACATTTCTCACGGGAAGATGGCCAGGATTCAAGGATTACATATGATTAAAAAGCGTTAGATGTTATGACATGAATACGGGTCCGTGGTCATTGAGTAGTACGCATGCATAGATCACATTCAACTTTTAAAAGCGGGACGATTTATTTCAGTTTTACCAACTCGTCTTATTTATTCCATACGCTATGAAGAAAATTCAATTGTCTTTTTTCATTCACTGGTTGTAGTTGAAGCACATCTGTTCCATGCCTCCCTATTGAATGCCCAAAAACACAAACACAAGAATGAGTAGGAAAATAATTATGAGATCCTTGGTTTCCATCGCTACAGGGGGAACACCAAATTCTATTTCGCATCAAGTGAGAATTATTTGAATAACCTATTATGTCTAAAAGGTTTGGCTTAGATGTTTTGACATAGAGAGCTAGCACCATGTTACTAGTTTGGATGCATCATTGATTTCAAGCCTGTTTGGTTTTCACTAATCTTTTCTATAATACTTGATGCTTACCTACGTTACTTTGAAGTAACGTTCTTTCATTTCCCTCCGGGGTCCCGTGGCTTTCACTCGTCAACGTCAGTCTGGGAAACGTGGCAGGCAGCAGGAGGTCTTTGTAGGAGAATAACAGACAAAACAAACCAGGAGTCAGGCCACACGGTAGAATCTACTGTACTACAATCTTGGATCCGTGGTCCGGGGGGTAAACTAAATTTGATCTATTAACCAGATGACATGTCAACTGTACGGGAAATAGGTACAGTACGGACTTTGGACTCCACGACAGGACCGAAAGACACAGCGTCCATTCAGCGGTCAGAACCCGAACGAAGGCTGGGCTCGGAAGAAAAAACTAACGGTTCGAAAAACAGGGTCCGGTAATTGCCCGAGGTGTATGCAGTGTATGCAGTTTGACCGATTCTCGGATCGCCGAAAGTGCGGGCGAAGAGAACAAGGGTTCAAACTTCAAGCGGCTTCAATCGCAGAACTTATAATTAGATTTAAAGCGCGCGACGTGACGTACGGTCGCACTTTATAGCTGCAACGCACGAACGGCACCAGGAGGTGCAAATCATCGAATCAAGTAAAGGACAGGCCTATGACTGCAGCGGCAGGCAGTCTGAGCCCGAGCTAGCAGCTGGACGGGAGCGTAATGCCGGTACCGCAGTAGTTGCGCATCGAGTCGAGTTCGGTTGCGGGGATCTGACATGCTCGAGAGTCCGAGGGTCAGAAGTGAAATCTCCACACGGCAACAACAGCTGGAGAAAGAGCTGCGGGGTAGCTGGGAGCTGCGTTGCTGCGGCTGCTGCCGCGAGTGTAAATGCTAGTGTCGCTCTCTCGAACTCTCGTCGACGCTGCGTCTTTTGGACCTGCCTGCTTTCTGGACTGACTGACTGACTGACTGACCGACCGACCGACCATCTCTGCCCCAGCAGACCCATTGAATGAATAGCAGCAGCAGGTCGATGACGTCTGAGTTTGCTGCCGACGCCAGAGCCGCCGATGATGTTCAAGTCTTAGTAGTTCGAGAATCGTAAGCGACTGTTTGCTTGCTTACAGTCCAGAGCAGCTGCTGTGAGGATCGAGGTGAGCGAGCATTGCGGCCTTGTGCTTTGAAACGCACGAGCGATTGGTCAGACTCGGGAGCTACTCGAGGCCCATAGCGAATGAAGGAGAGATAGAGGGTGAGAGAGAACAGATTCTGCTGTGGAGTGGATGGCATGTGTGTGTATTCGAGCGATGATCCGAGGTGATGCTCAATGTCGGGAACAGGAGTGACGTTTGTTCGGTCGGGGATTGAGAGAATTTGTGTTGGATTATCCAGGTTTGCGCAGGTTAAGGAAAGATGCCACTGACAGTGGCGTCTGTCATATTGCTACAGGCATTGAAGGGCAGACGTAGATAAATATTGCACAAGACTCGGACAATGTGGATTGTGACCATGAAGGTTGTGGTACGCTTGTCGAGTGCAGGCATGCTGGAGCATAGAGTTTGACGAGGACCAGAGGCAGTCAGGGCTGGCGCTTCATTGCTGAAATTTTCCCGGGGCCGGGGACGGGAGCCCAGTCCTGAGTCAGAAAAGATGGGGGTGAGTTCAGCTCCGCACGTATTGTCAATTTCTCGCAGTTCTGCTTGTACTTCCTGTTCTGGAGGAATTGGTGACCCTACGGTGATTTCCACCCAACTGCATCACATGGAACTGGAAGCCACTCGGTGGTACAGTCCACTGTTCGTTTAGCCACATTTCTGGCGGCGCTAGCAGTCCATGCATCTGTTGCCATGGCCTGACGAATTTCAGTGTTATTGTGCATCTGGTCGAAATTTGCATGCGGGGTAAACTTTGTGGGGGCATGCTAGCGATCTGATTGTTTTCTTCGATGGTGCAGTTGCATGGCTCGTTTCAGCGAGCCGTCGGGAAGTACCATTTGTGGATGAACAACGCGTTTTCTTCATACGGATCTTACGTTGCACGGAAGCCCCTCATTCCTCTTGTGTAAGTTGCATCTCCAGTCCAGTACTTTCGAGTCTTCAAAGTGAGATGCTGCGGCCCCAGGCTCCTGGCTGTCAATCAGTGTTCAGATTCTGGCCAGCTCTTCAAGCGGAGTCGAGGGTTATTGAACGTACGCACCGTGGCATTCGAGGCAGGAAATTAGGAGCGGCTCCGTCGATTATTAGAGGTTTGCGAGAACGTTATCCGACTTCCATGGCCGACCTCCCCGCCCTCAGTCCGCATGCTGTACAGGTCTTCTGCTCTGAGGAATCTGGCTTGACGTCAGATTGACCAGGTCGGCAAGATGCATCGTGGATTTTTGCTTGGGCAGCGTACGTCGCGGGCTTCGCAGAAGACACTTTCCTTCGTCGTCGTAGAGAAACATCTCTGAGATCTTTAACTTTTCTGTCAGTTCCGGAGCAGAGATGATGGTTTCCTTGAGTGGAGGAGGAATGGCTGTTCCAATCGAATGCAATCAGTGGCATTGGACTCTGAAACGAGCTGACTCTGTCTCCACATGTGCTTTCTTCTCTCCGTAGAGTTACTGAACGCCTCGAGACAGACCATTTCGCTGTCTATTCAGAGCGTCGAGTCGGTCGTGGAAATGTGACTATCTGTTGGTGCCGTAGACTAATGTGCATGTTTGGGGTAACATGAACGCCAAGCATGATGTGTCTGACCTCGCACCCTTTACGATCGAAATTTTTGGCGGGCCAAATTTCGAGCTTCTTAAGCCTCCACACATATCAACTGTCAGTCCAGGCAAGGAACATTTTGGTGCAATGTTGGCCCTGATTTCAGTGCACTCTGCCGCATTTGCAGCTTCGGTTTAGTTTTGCTGGGAGGATTCTGCTTCGGGCTGTTTCGGTACAGTAAGGAGACAGATCTCGAGAAGCTATGGGTGGAGCACGGTTCTCGAGTCGTGGAAGAAAAAGCATTTTACGATGCCAGGTAACCTCTCGAGAATCTCGTTCCTATGAAACTCACTTTCAGATGACATGCATTCAGTATATCTAAAGCGGCCAAGCTCTTATATACTTTTCCGGCTTCATCAGATTCGGAGGAATTCCTCGTCAAGAGATAGTGGCCATTGTTTCCAAGGACAACCCAGATGCACAGCTGGACCTGGCGCATGCAATGGATGCATTGACTTACTCCATAGGTCCTCTATTCGACAACCTCACTCTCGATTACGTTCCTCCCGGTAGTACAAAGTCTGTGCAACTTGTCCAGGTACCACAACATCCTCCACACTGAATTCTAGAAATTCGTACTTCCACCTTGCACGATGTGCATTTTCAAATGGCTTCTGTAAACCAGTGGTTCTACGTTTTAGAGGTCGGTCGCAAGGTGAATCGGGAGCTTTAATGGTGTTATGGTTTCTGATTGCAGAGCGACCTGTGCGTAAGACCTTTGGTACCTCCCACTTTGAGACCAGGAAACAATCCATTGGTGGACAACAATTGGCTTTCATGGGGTTTCCAGAGGATGTCGACTTGTGCTCTGAACACTACTTTCGCAGCTTCCACTATCAAACCTTCCTTCTTACCTGTGGGCTGGGGTATATCCAAGTTCCCGTGTACCAAGCTGACACCTATGGACTGCTTCCGAGAGGGAGGAAGTTTTGATTATCCTGAAGCCCTTCGACAACTTGAAACTCCGATGCCACCTCTTCCAAGTACGAAAGAACAGAGTGTTTATCATTATTCAAATTTCACAATGTTGAATGGAAGATAATATTCCGGACTTCAAATTCTGCTTCAAATACTGTATTCTGATACGTATTTCTTCTTTATTGTGCAGCTGGTAACTTTACCTTAGTTGACATAACCGCATCTTTCATCGCCCAAACCAACATTTGCAGTGTAGCACTTACATCAGAGCTTGAAGGGTTGTTCACACTAGCCCAAGTGCCTGCTGAGCAAGCTGCTCCTCAAATTGCACAGGTGAAATAACTGATTTATCAGTACCACACGACTGTATGAACACATGAACAATGTCGCTATGCACAGTGTCTTACAACATTGGCTCAATTGCTTTCATTGCACCAGTTGCTTCGTTCTCAACGCATCGAAGAATCTTCTAAACTGTTTACGTCACCTCCTTAGGAACATTATATGACATAAGGATATACTTTTGAAGTTATTGATGTGGTTAGTTTCCAAGTACCATGCAGTGTTCATTTATCTTCGTTTGGCATCGTAGATTGTGGCAGGGGTTGAAAGCCAGACAGAGAGTTTCTTTTCTTGGGGATATCGCTGGAGAAGATCTTACAAAGGAATGTCTAGTGAAGAGGTAATACAGGTTATCAGAAAGGCCAATGAAATGTTTTGTGCACGTCGATTGCTTAGTATTATCAGGATATGTATTTCGTTTGTAAATTTTCAGGGCTTCCGTTAGCAGCAATGGAATTGTTTTCTATTTCTCACACAAGGATTTCAGGATGATATGTATTTTGTTCCATATCAATCGTTCTCGAATCTGACTATCAAGAATCGCCAAAATCAGCATTCAAAGCTAGTGCTTGAAGATTTAAGCAGAAAGTGACTTCTGTATGATCTTAAATATTATAGATTATCGACCACATCAACACCGCCGTCAAGCTTGCAGATGAATGGGATACAGCTCCAAGTAATCCTCAAGTGAGTGACTGCAAAGCTCTAAACAAAGCAATGAAATGGTTCCAAAACACTTGCATCATAATGTGATTCAAGTGATTGATTGAGGAAATTGCATCTGCGTTGCTATGTCAGCATTTCAGCCTGCCAGTCAGAAATGCAATTTATCTCCGTCATGTTCCTCAGAAGAGTATGTTTAATTGCTTGCAGGTGGCTACATGCATCACGGAAGGTCTACCTTGCTGTCTTACCTGGTTTGGTCTGCACACACCAATTTTGGCTTCCTTGGGTAGTATCGATTACAACGAAGGTGGCAATGTCACTAAGGTCGGTCCAGACCCTTTCTCTTGCGATGTTCGATGTACATATTAGCATAGTATTTCCTTGATTTGCAATAAGAGTACCATGTAGAATAATTTGCCCTGGGGATTGCTTAAGCGCCAGTGAGCAGCCTCATGTAGGAGTTTATTGAGTATCTGAATGTGAATCTTCACTGAACTGTAGCACCTCAAATCAAGGAGTGTGATCTTTCGTCAATTTAAACACGAATTTAAGATCTTGAGTTTTTATCTTACAGATTGGAGGCATACGGTGGGGTCAAAACAATTATCATGAAGCCCAGCCCCTTTGGGTAGACTACATAGAAGAAGTTTTGGGAGTAAATATCACTCGGAAGCAACGCAAGAATCTGCACAGAAAGTGGGAAGGTCGTATGGTGGATCACCTTGAACCTTTACGTAACAGAGAAAGCAATTTGTTTGCCACCACCTACAACGATCTTCAACTTGAGTTCCTTACCTGGGTAAGATGTTATTATGAATCCTAATTACGTGATGCCCAATTCACTAGACTGAAAAGTAACTCGCAGGACTATCGTAATTCTTTTGGTAGTCTCATATTGTTATGTTGGTCTGCAGAGATCTTCTCAAGATATTATATCAGATTCTGCGAAGACTCCAATCTGGCAAATTGTACTTAGTGTTATTCTAACTTCTCTATACGCATACTTGGCCTTCATCAATATCAAGAGACCAGTTCATTCTCACACTTGGGTGGTTCTTACGGTAAGATCTCATCTCTTGTTATCATGTAAATCCAAACAAGTATGTATTATCTCTGAGTAATTGGACTTAAGTTTCTAATTTTGATTGTAAGAACGCGCTTTGAGTTGTCCAAGTTTATGACACTTATCTTCCCCTTTCAAAGAAGCCTTGCCTTTGACTAGCTGAAGACTGATGTTTGGAGATGGCAAACATTTCCCCCCTATCGAACCACTAGATTATTTATGATTTACGAAGGTGAATTTACGTAGAAGTTTTTAAGACAACTGCTCATGACATTCTTCTTAAAATGACTCTGATCTCTCTGATAATGATGTTTCAGGGACTTTCAGTGGTCACATTGTCCATCTTGTCAGGCTTTGGATTCACTGCTATGATTGGCATTAAGTTCTCACCCCTTGCCGGTGGCGTGGTACCGTTTTTGGCACTCGGTCTTGGTAAGCAAATGTCGTTAACTAGAGATATTTCGCTTATTCTGTTCATTCTTTCCCTCAATTTCAATCCCAATCTACGTATGTTGTGAGACTCTTGATTCTAGTTGGCGCAGTCTTGAATCGGCTCAATGATATCCACGATGGATACATGCCCTTTACCGATTCCTGCCTTAGAATCTATTGCAATCCTTCAGCTTTCATCTTCTGTGTTCAACTTGTTATCTTATTGTTAATTTCATTCGTTGCCTCCAAGACGTGATGGAACACTATCAATGCTTAAGATGATTCATCTGTTTGTTTTTGTCTTCTTTTCTGATGTCACACGGTCTTAGTGAGAACGGGACTTATCTCTCTTGTATCTGTTATGAGCTTTACAAAGATCTTTTATCTTAATCGAGGTTACTTCCGCTGCTGAGATCACTCGGTGATCATATGTGTATCTATGAAACCTTTGTGAATTGGAAGATAATTTTTTTGGGTACTTGTGATTGCGCAGGTATTGATGATGTGTTTGTACTCGTAAATATTATGCGCAATTATTTAGAAGATCCGAGATTACAAGCCATGGGGTCTGGCTCCATCATTCCTGAGAGAGAAATGAGACTTACCCTCGCACTTGCGGGTCCTTCTGTTATTCTCACCACCTTTTCCGTTCTGGCTGCATTCTTCATCTCCTCCCTGGTAAGTTAAGTCGGCACATACACCTTGCTTCTCTAGTATTTTGTTGCAACACATGGGTGTATGGAAGTTAAGTTGGTTTCAGGTTTCTCAAGAAAAAATCGCTTTGAGTAATTGCTCAAACATTTCTTGGGTGTGATGCAGAATCCCATGCCGATTTCTCAGTGGTTTTGTTGGCAAATGGGCATAACTGCAAGTCTTCACACAATCGGACTTATATTAATTTTCATGCCGATCATGGCTATCGATGCACGTCGGGTAAAGGTGAGTTGAAACTTTCAGATTACTTTCTTAACCACTGTGCTTCCGAGTGAATAATTTGAAAATATGGGAAATTATTGGTGGCCTTCACTTAAAAGCAGACTCATAAAAGTGATGATTTCATAACTCCGATGAACGATGATCATTTCACATATAACTTTGAGTTCTCACCGGAGCGTCCAGGGGTATATATACAGTTGTATAAGCAGACTAACAACCAGCGCAAATCGCTACAAAAATATATGAAAGTATTCTTGTGCCAACCTGTGAAATATTGTCTTAACAGGTCTAGGAACTTAAGCAAGAAATGAACGTGCCGACTAGCTAATTTTCTTGGAAGTATTCTCGATCATGCAAACTGCTACACTATCTAAAATTATCTGAAAATAGAAGAAATCTTTCCGAGCTAAGAAGATCTTTTGGCAAAAGGTAGCCACTTGACTACTAATTCGCTCAGTGATGTATTTTTGTTGTACAATAACAGAAAGTAGAACTGATTCAATAGATTTCAGTAGCTCTTGTTCATAGTGAGTTATGAGAGCGACGGGTATTTGGTCTAAGTTACCTTCGACAGCTGCATAAATAAACCACGATTTGTTTCTCAATAGGAAGTGAGCTATATTGTGCTTGTTCAAGCATCTCGGTTAACCTAACCCCACGATTTAATATTTACTGAGTCGCAGCATCAAGGTCTGAACCAAAGTGAGCAAAAGCGGCTACTTCACGATAAGGGGTGGCCCATTGTATGTAAGACAAGAAGGCCACGAAATCGGAAAGCCTTTTATGCACTACGGCCCTGCGGAGATTTAAAGCCTTCAGGGTTGGATTTCTCATATATATGATAGATAATCAGCCGTGAAACCAAAGATTTTTTTTTGTGCCGCGTCATCCCGCGCCCTCATCGAGAAATCATCAAGCTCGTAAACATAGGCGAACTGCCACTTTATGAGTAACTATAAACAAGGGAGAGGGATATAGAAAGAAAGAAGCAATAAAAAAGATAGTGATTGCTAGTAGTAACGATTTAACACGATCCATGGGTTCATATAACCATGGCTTTAGGTCAGATCAACGAGCCTTGATCAATCAGACCTAGCTAATCAATTAAATATCCTTTCTTCCTGATTCTTCTTTGCCAGAAGTTATTCATTCATGCTTCCTGAAGTAACGTTTTGCTGGTGATGGTGTTTGTGGGGACGCAGGCAGGAATCAATGACCCGAACCTTTGGCTAGTGCATGGATATCGCAGCAAAGGAGCATCAGAAAGTAAGTGTTAGCACAAAGGGAAAGTTTGACTTCTGTTGACTTGCATGAAAATAGAGAGATGATTTCGACATCCAAAATATCATTGAAAAGACTTCTACTTTATTTAAGCAACTTTTTCCTTGTCATCTTGCTTACACCTTTTACCAAGTTCAGTGGTCCAACCAACAAGTTGTTTCTCTTATTATTTAAACATTTAAACAAATTCTCTATATTGTTTTAAACTGAAAGTAAAGTTTCCATCTATCTGCAGCTGCAGCAGGAGTGAAGGATGAAACTGTAGCAGGTGATGACGCCGCAAACTTTGATGTGAATGATCCTTCGCTGCAAGAAAATACCGGGAGCACTGCCATATCAAGATGGGTAGCTTCAAGATACGCACCTTTGTTCGAAAACAATATGTTCAAAATTTGTGTGGTACGTCACTTGTGTGGCTCATGGCTTAAAATTTTTTTCATGTTTGGAAAAGTTTTCCATGGCTCTAGAGATTTGCATGTTTAGTTTGGCAAAAGTAAGACTTTCATACTTTAATTATCCTTATTCAAACAACAAAAAACCTAACGAAGCTATAATTGGCGGTTTTTTCCCTTGCCAACCTTTAATTATTGAGTACGCAAAGAAATAGAAAATATTTACCAAGTAATTAAAGTCCAAGTTTCTTTTGGATCCCAATTCCAATAGGAACGTCATGCTTCATTAGCCCATACTGGTCCTGATAAAATACGAATAGTTAAAGAAGAAATCCTAAACTAATCTTCTGAATTTTTTGATGCAGGTAATAGTATCAGCAGCATTTTTGGCTGTAATGATATATCTTGGCTTTCACAAGGTGGAGCACGGACTAAAGCTATCAGACGTTACCCTTGCAGGTAAGAATCGTTGAATCTCATGCCTTTGGATCCTCATACAAAAGCTAATTGTGAATTTGCAAAAGCTCGATTAATTGAAAGTCGATTGCAACTTAATGGATATCAATCAATGGGCATTGCAGGATCATATCAGAACACATTTGCCAAGCTCACTGAGGAACGATTTCCCAACTATGATGTGGTAAGAGCATTTCAAGTGTCAAAGTACAGAGCATTTTGAGTAAATTGTCTAAATTTCATTCTGAACTGTGAGATATTGGTTTTAGAATCCCTCCGAATCAAAAGAGTAGAAGTTTTCAATACCTGATGCTTTCTGAGGAATCTTTTTTCTTCTAATCAATTGCATTTCGTTGGATATAGGCCATAGTAACAAGAGAAATTGATTATCCAAATCGGCAAGCGGAAATTCTGGAGATATTTTCGGAGTTGCAGAAGAAAAAACGATGGGCGCCAGTTCAACCCAGGGTACGTTCATCCACATCTCGTTTGTAGTCTCTAAATTGAATGGGCGTACATGAACTTGAAATTAAAACACAAGCATTAAATTAAGTGTTTGTAAGCTATAAATTGCTCCCTATATACTTCGAATTGTTGAATGAGATTTATTTATTTTACAATCTTCAATCGCTTAAATGTTTCAATACTGTGCAGATATTGGAATCATCGTGGATGGGAGGTTTTTACCTCTTCAGTAACAGCACTGCCAATGTGTCATACCCTGTTCCAGCACAAGCCTTCAATCAACTACTAGAGGGCTGGTCCACCTCATCCCTTGGTAAGTCTACTCTTACCATCTGTATCATAACAGATCATCTGTATAATCATTACAGACAGTCACACATAGTCACCACACAGAGCCCATGACAGATCACACAGTTCCATGGCTCTTCTAAAGAGTGCCTTAGTCTCCCTCGATAAAAAGCATTCACTGGAGATGAAGTTTGATTCACTGTATGCTTGTTATGGGTTCCCACTTGCAGGAATCCTTTCTCTCCAAGATATGTATTGTGAACACAACGAAACAGGACTTCCACTGAGTTGCTTCAATGTTGAGCAAAATCCTAATCTGAGAGTGGCGGCCACCAAATCTGTGGTATGAAACTCATTCTATAAACCTTCTTTGCATTGCTCTAAGTTTCTTCCACTAGGATGGTCTAATCCAGCAACAGCAGTCCTGACTGCCTCACGAGCACGTTTGCCATCTGCAATGAAACGTACACGGCTAAGATTTTCATCGGGCGTAATGTCAGATGTTTGCACAAAACCTGGGAGCAAACACGAAGCCAAACTTAGACATGATCAGAGACACAAGAAGCGTGGTCGATGGGCTGAATGACAAGTTTGGTGAGAACATCGCATATATGTACGGGTACCCGTTCCTCTTCTTCGAGCAATACTTGCACAGCTACCATGATCTTTATCTGGTGGTCGGATTAGCCTTAGGTGAGTGTTTTTCCTTCACGTAATGTTATGAATTCTGATACTTTTCCATTCGCTGAACGAGCACGAGCGACAGAGGATTGTAACTGACGTGCGCATGTCATGTGCAGTGGGAGTTTTTGTAGCAATCACCGTCTTTCAATTCAGCTTAACTGTATCCATTCTGATATGCGTGATTCTTCTCGTGACGGATCTCGAAGTGTATGGATTTGTGTATATTATTGGCGCTAAACTGAATGGTAAGTTCCCTTTCTGCTCACTTCACCACTTCATCACGAACTTACGATCACTTCATATTCCTCATCTCTTGATTTAGCCGCGAAATCATGGCAATGAGCGAATGGTAGAGAATGAATGACGCTGTCCTCTCTGCAATTTTTGAATCTCTACCTGAGACAATCCTCCTGATGCTAACGACTTCTCGTCCGGACCTTGCATGTACTGGACACGCGTTCAGCCCTTTCTCTGGTGAATCTCGGCATTGTGGTAAGTAGCATGCGACCCCACGCCCATCATGGGCAGCAGTCTTGCAAATTATACATTCCTCGCCTCGAGGAGAGAAGAGAAGTGTAACTGATACGCCGATTGGCATGTTGTTGCAGATTGGCATGTCTGCCGAGTTCACGTACTTGGCGAGGTCGTTTCTGGTCGTGGAGGGAACCAAGACCGAACGAGTGCGCAAGGCTCTGGAGTGGACCTTCGAACCTCTGCTGCACGGCTTCGGAACTCAATTCGTCGCCACTTTTCCTCTCTTGTTTGTAAAGTACGTCGTCACCGCCATGATTCAACTGCTCAATAATTTAGAATCTAACAAGAGTACCTCGTAGGAAACTTGTAGCGCTCCTCTAGAGGACAGTACATCATTCAGTTCATGTTCCTCTGCTAAAGGGCTTCAATCTGAACGTGGGCGTGTGCAGGTACCATGCCTTCAGGCTCTACTACTTCGCCATGTTTACAGTGATGGGGATCATTGGCTTCTTCAACGGATTTGTACTTCTGCCTGCGCTGCTCACGTGGATCGGACCAGGCACTTTGCACCACATCAAAGAAGCATCGGCCAAAGCCAAGCAAAGGGCCGTGCAAGCCCAAACGAACGGGTCGAAGGTCGAGCAGGCGGATTCGGCACCCAGCAACGGAACTGCTCCCCATACTTGATACTACTACAGCTCAGATTATACAACTTTACGTTCATACAGAGTATACAAAAGATAGGAATGGTAAATTAGATCTGTAGCTAGACCAACATCGTGGGCCTCGAACTAGTTGTCAGTAAAATTAGTCATAGCAAAAGTATTAGAAGGCTGGTTGGCTGGTTGTCATGCTTTATCACAGACAGAAGGAATAGGCTGGTTCCTGTCCACATGCATTGCGGCATACCCACATACGCACGGTGGATCGAGAAATTCGTCCATGTGTTTGTACAAGCTGTAATGAAGGAACCAAAAATGCACGTACATAGTACTCGTTAGCGTATCATGATCTGTTGGGACTATTGATTTTTCTTGTATGTGGATAAGGCGCACTTTCTACCGACACGCTTGATGTCATACCTTGCTGTGCTCGAGCCGAACCTGTCGTTGTCACGCACCCTGAGGATGTCGTTCAGGGAGTGACAGGGTTCGGTAAGTTGCTTCCGGGATCCATCGCTATTCTGGCTAAGAAACCATGTGACCCGCTCTTGAAAGTTGTTGCGTGGATTTTTGCCGATCTTATGGGCATGAAAACATAACCTCGTGATTTCAATCCAGACGTTGAGTTTCAGTATTTTCATGCGTTTTTGGATGCGACTTCTCAGTACAGTAAAGCTTAATGTTGTACCCCGAAGATTTTCGAGAGTGGTTAGGCACATGTCCGACACAGTTACAGCGTCCATTTAGTCAACCAAAAGCTCCGTAGGGTCGCTTGTTCCTTCTTACCACACTGCCAAGATTATACAGAGAAATGGCTGCGCACGTCTGCTTACATGCAAGGTCCGGACTTCGGTAAAGACTCAGAAATTTCGGAGAGAGCTTCGCCTCATTTATTTTCCCATTGCCATGATTTGACGGCTAAAAACGAAGTGAAGTCTATGTAGTGATGCTAATTCCGTTATAAGCTGGTGGGAGATGGGGCGAATTTAACAGAAAGGAAAGTCTACCTTCATATGAGCCGCCAATTGTATGCCCAGATCCATGTACTTCGAGATACGTCAAGAGAAGAATCACGCACATGAAACTGAGTACAGGTAAGTTTATTTGAAAGACGGTGATGGCTGCAACGACTCCCACTGCACATGGCAGTTCAGTCGGATTCCTACGTCGCTCGTGCTGATTCAGCGGATTAAAAAGTATCACACCGCACGTGAAGGAAACACACTCACCTCAGTTAATCCAACCAATCCAACCACCAGCTAAAGATCATGGAAGCTTTGCAAGTATAACTCGAATAACAGGAACGTGTACGTCTCACCGAACTTGTCATTCAGGCCATTGACCAGTGTCCACTTATCTCTCATCAAGTCCAAGTTTGTTTCCGTGGTTGAATTTTACCATATTTTATGCGAACATCTGGCATTCCTTCCGATGATAATCTCAGCCGTGAAACATTCACGGTTGATATTTTCATGGCGGGTGGACAGCGTACCAGTAGGTCACGCGGGACCCCATTAGCTATCCTAGTGGAAGAACTCAGAGCAATGCAATAGATTCTAGACTGATGTTCATATCACAGAGTTTTAAAAGCCGCCATTTTCAGATTGGGAATTTGCTCGAGATTGAGGCAACTCAGCCACAGTCCTTTTCCGTATTAATAACATACATCTCTTACAGAGAAACGATACGACAACGAACAGACAATGAATCAAAATTGATCTGGGTAGAAGTACGAGGCTGTATAAGTATGCAGACGAAGGGGAAACTTTTCAGACAAGCCATATAATTGTGTCATGTTCTAGGTGCTCTTTCGTGCATCTATACAATTAGTATGTGTACTGATTCTATATATGGTAATAGCAAACTTAGCGAGAGGCGAGTTAGACCAGACCTTAATAGCTAATTGAAGGTCTGAAGTGTAACTGGGTACGACATTTTGATAGTGATGAACCTGAAGAGTTACAAGCTTCCCATCCAGACATTCAATATTTGCAGCTACTGAAGCTTCGAAGAAGCGATGATTCCTTCACGGGAAAACGTCCCCTCTTTAGATCCAATTTTGAGTGAGGTTATTTCTTGTTCCAAGCTTCAGTCTTCTGAAAAGTTCCAATGCCTTGCATATAGTGGGTTCATCTTGGACTAAAGGCTTATACCTCTTCAGCAACAGCACTTCCAATGTGTCCACCCACTTTCAATCAGCAATACATATATATTCAATCACTGAAGTCCTGATGCACCTCATCTCTCGCTACGTCTCCTCTTCCCATCTACTCTTACCATCTATACAATAATTACACATCCTCGCGAAAGAGCATCAAGCAGATGACACAGTTCCATGGCCTGTCTGAAGATTCTATCCATGAGCTTTCTTTTTAGTACGACCTTCTCCTCAGATTAAGCATTTTTCACTGTCTGCTCATTGTCAGATTGTATTTGCAAGAACCCGTTTTCTGCAAGACATGTATCGTGAACTCAACAAAACAGGACTGCACGTGAGTCGTTTCAATGTTGAAAGTAATTTCAATCTGACAAAGGCGGCCATCAAATTTGTGGCATTGACATCAATTCATAAATTTTCAGTCTTTTGCATTGCTCTGAGCTTCTTGCAAGAGTACTGATCTAACCCATGTACCGGGGTCAGGCCAGCCCAAGAATACGTTGGCGATCTGCCATGAAATATGCATAGCTGTGATTTCCATCGGTCGAAATGCTTGACGTTTGCACAAAACGTGGAAGCAAACTGCAAGCCAAACTTAGACATGTTAAATACACGCGGAGCGTGGTCGATGTCTTCAATGACAAGTTCGGTGAAAAGGTCACGTATCTGTCTTTAATTTTTTCATTTTCGTCTTTAAATCAAAACTTATCTTACATAAAATCCCAATTAACAAGTAGTATATCGAATAAAATTAGGATCTTAACAGAACACGTTTTTGAAAATTACTGAAGCATGCTGTTTCATATATAATTTCAGTGAACTTGAAAAAGAATATGTTGTACTTCAAAAGGTTAAGGAAATGATGAGAAACTGGTAACTCTAACCTCTTTCAACATTTTTGCCTCAGAAAGTTTTATAGGAGCACACTCTCGTACATAATTTACTTTTTTATGATGACAATTTTGCAATTCACACAAACTGATTTGCGAGTTTACAATTTGGTAGTCGCTGTCGCTCATCCTTCCACTTTCGAGAAGTCCGAAAATTGTTGCAAAGCAACCATGAGAGAGAACTGGTGGCAGCCATCTCTAGAGTTTGTGCAACAGATGCCCACTTGCAGAAGTGCCTCGCTGCTTCCAATTTTCTTCCATGGTTGTCTCCTTGCGAATGTACGAATAGACATATCTAAGATTGTGATTCTCATTGGGATCTTACATTCCACTACACGAGTGTCGAGCAAGTCCGAGGGTAGGTGGTCTTCGAGGTGAACTACAAAGACGCTTATTGTCTTGAAACTGAAATTAAAACCATGCCTTCACAACAGGTCCCATGCTGCGCTTTTGATTAACGAATAACTCAATTTAACATCTCTGAAAGCAAATCTGTGAGCTTCGCATGTGATTGCTAACAAAAGTAGTGATGTGATAAGGAATGATCATGAATAATTAAGTGTAAAGTTTGTTCATTTTATTGCTTTGATGGAGCATTTGGCCGCTTCTCTGCTTACGTACTCATCACGAATTTTTTTATTGAGTACATTGCCTTGAAATTTCCCTCCAGTACCTTGATTCCATCTCCATGAAATATGTACATTACCTTAATTAGCATGATCTTCAAATTTCTTATCTTAGAAGGCGATCTCAATGGATCCACTTACCCAGAATGAAGAAAGGTGATCCACCACTTAAGATAATGGATAATCATGAAAAAAGCAGTAATTCATCAGGATTTCATCATCTATACACCTTGCATACTGCAATTGAAAGCCTAGGCCTAATTTTTTCATATATAGATTCAGCCGTTGTTTTTGAAATTTCAACTTAAGAGTTCTTTCCTGCTCGCAAGGGCTCTTTTTGTGGCAAGGTCACGTATCCCTTTGCTGAAGAGTAATCTCGCAGCGCATTTAGTACGATGTATGTCCAGAATAAATCCAAGTTTATGAGCAGAAGCATCTGACTCCAAACAAAGAGCGCGGCAAGATTAGTCTAACCTTGCCACGCTCACGGAGGATGAGTCATGGCTCCAGATCAGACCTAACGCTGTTGATCCTGAGGGCCGGAGGATTCTATGGTAAAATCAGCCGAAACATGGTAATCGCTAATCTTCCCTTGAGTTTCTTACCATCTTCGGGAGCATCTTCTGTCTTGCGTCAGACCACCTGTCGTGCCCCAACCGGAGTACATATCTGAGTTGTTTTTGAGTTCCACTTGTGACAGATTAGAGCGTGTTGAGATTATTGCAATTTGTGGAAGGCTGATGTAGCACATCATTCGCTTGTGTGGTCGGACATTATCTATTTACGGACGGCCACGGTGATAAGAGGCCATAAGAATAATAGAATGTATAAATATTTCTCTACTATTTGTGCATTGAATTTTATAGTGCACAAATGATCTTAACAAGATGTATATCAATTTTACACACAAAGGCAGGCAAGAGCTTTATTCTTAGGCAAGCTGAGTAAAACTGATCAGTATATCTAGTATCCAAGTTTCTCGAAGGCAACCTCCTGCACATGCAGCTTTAGAGAGAAGAGAGGTGTTACGGATCAATTTTTCGCTATCGAAGAATGGAAGTGATTCGAAAAGTCTCACAGCGTTGCGGGAGGAGAAGACATACAACAAACATTCACTCTGCTGTTGTGCATGTTCTCATGATAGTGTGATGTCGATATCTACGCCCTGTATCAAGATGAGTGTCTATATTCAAGCGATGGTGTGGAGTTTCCAAGAAACTGTGAATTTGTACCGGACAAAATCGAAATCACCTCGTATGCAGGAAACGCAGACTAGCATGGCCGAGTATAATGGTCTTTCCGTCATTCTCTAATAATTCATAATGTCGAGGCTGCGAATGCAACCTTTTACGCGGCCCCATCCAGCACAGGTCGTTATATCTAGAGTTTTATGAACATCACGAAGGAACATCAGGCAATCCCCGTTGCATTTGGCCATCTTGCTTTTGTTGACAGTCACTTTGTATACAATTGCAATGATTTCGACACAAATCTTGTAAGCGTATTCATCATTAACATCCGACGTATGGTGCATTTAGCTGCAATTTCACGCAAAGTCTCCTTGTTTCATGTACGTACATTTTAGCTCGTGCACTTACCTTCTTGGAGGATGCATAGCTTTCAGGAGAACTGAAACATCTAGATGTCTTTTCTAGTCTCTTCCTAGACAGATGCTCTCCACTGTCCATTATACTTAACTGAGCATTTAATATTATCTTAGGCTCTGTGTATCTGAAAAAATCATTTCAATGGTCCTACATCCTTAACTTTTGTGTACAGATAGCTCCCATTTTGAAATGATCTTCGTTTATAAGTGAAGCTCGAAGTTCAATAAACATTTTTAAAACAGGTTAAAGAGATTCTTAAATTCAGATTTGAAATATTAAAAAAAATAAATCATGTTTCATCCAATTTTCAAGATCATTAAGGATATGATGGGTTTTTATTGATTTGTAGTAAGAGTCATACAAAATGTCACATTTACTTGTTTTCAATCTAACAAATTTTATCATATTTAGATAAGAGTATACTTGATATATTTGTGATCTTATCTTATTTTAAGATTATATGATATCCATCTAAAATAAAAATTTAAATAAATTTTTTACTTATTTAATTCAAAAGAAATTTCATATATAAATATATGCAACATTAAAATTTAAGTTTAAAATTACAATGTTATATATTTTTATTTATTTATTTATTTCATCTAAATATTAATTATCATTAAAATTTAAATAGCCAATTAATGATTCGATATTCTACTATCTACTTTAAAATATAAAATCAAAATCCATCACATTTTAAACATACTGCAAAAATCAACGATTTATTTTATTTTCTTGATGTGATGATAGTAAGGTTGGAATGGAGGGTTTACTATAATCAAAAGCTTATATGTGAGCTTTTGTACCTAGTAGCTTGGAAGTAGTTTCTATAATCCATAGGAAATATTTTCATCATCGCATACATAAATATGCCTTACGTATTCAAAATCAAGTGAAAAATTAAAATATTGTTGTTTACTTTTCAGATATCTTGATGTAAACTTTGAAATTGATTTTATATTCAATGACTTAAAATGTCATATCATTCAGTGGCTATAGTGAAAAAAAATTAAACCTGAAAATTTTTTTTATATTTATTTCTACTTTAAACTTTATGATTTAATAACAAAGGTCATTAAAAATTTGCATTTCCAGTGTGTCATGAAATTCACCAGGTGTACAATATCAAAAATAAATCCAGTCATTTAGAAAAATATAGCTAGTTATGTATAATGCCAAATCCTATTTCCTAAATCCCTCCTGGACCTGACAATCTTTGGACTGTCCGATGGCTAGAAATGCGATGCGTTGTTTGCAGGACCCACTTTTGACTTCGCAGTATGGTTCCACATTTGCCCATTGATTCATCTCTCGTCCAGTGCTGGTCTTTTCCCCCGAGAGCACTCTTCCTTTCTTTACATTTCGTGCACCACACGCTCAGAATCAAAATTACTCAAAAATAGGGGGCCTGCATGACACGCGAGGCCCAATTGATGTAACCAGCAGAAACTGCGGTGGGGAAGGATGCATCCATCACCTAAGAAGCTAATATCGTCACCCTGCTCTCATCGCGATTTAGGTCTCTGTGATTGGGAACAGCCAATGATGAGCAGCCACCCTCATGCGACTGACTTGCGAACAACGTGTTGGCACTGTGATTTTTGGATTCACTTGCACAACAGGTTTTCATTAGTTCACATTATGAGGCGACAATGCTATTGTGAGGAAATGACGAAGATTTTCAGACTAGGGGAGGAAAAGGAATCCTCGTCTGAGCTGAAAAGTCTACATCTTTCAAGAGTATTAGGTGCTTAGTCGTTGATAGGACTCGGTTCTCGAAAGAACCTGCAATCTCTGCAGAAGCTTTGGAATTCGGAACCACGAAAAACTTCAAACATTGACGAGGGGAACAGTGTGGCGACTGAGAGAAGCAGAAAACCGAAGCATTGAATATCGACGATACTGGGTGGAGAGCGTGGCTTAAGTTGCTGGGACTAGTCACTTTCTGCTGTTATTCGGGCTTTAACAGTAGTTGGAGATGATTGACCTCTTACTGATGTTGTCGTTTCTACAGGGTCATGCACGAGAGTAATTTGTCACAAAGATTGACATATTCATCAAGTTACGCCGATCAATTTAGTAGAATCGTGAAAGGTGGGGCCTCAAAATTACAACATTAAGTTATGACAGTGATGGAGAAGGCGTTGTTGTCTCTTCCAAACGACGGCTTTTGTATCCAGCTTCCAAGAAAGCAGCCGTGAATATTTACGCCCAGATATATGCCAACCAGCCACTATCTGAAAGCTGAATTGACTCATGGGATATTATGTTTCATGTCAATTCCAGAAGAGTCGAGACAGGCTGAATTTGTCAAGTTTGTCCTCGTGCGTGTTAACGGGCCATGCTGAGCAGAACAATGAAAATGGTCGAGAAACGATGGAACCATGCGGAAAGTACCAATGTGTACGCAGATTTTAGCGAGTTAAGTATTGGAATAGTTACAAAGTCACTTCCTTGATGGTTTCCATACATATGCCCTTTCTCCAAGTGGAGAACACTCTTCACATGGAATTGTATTGAAATTCACGGATACAAGTTGCCAACTTATGCTGACCTTTCAGATCTCAGGTTTGTTTTCAGACTTGCAAAGATGACTTCAACTGACCTTGTTTGAGGTTTTCTCTAAAATTTGATCAGTGCTGTTCAGTGTTTCTAATCTTGGTTTGATGCCTGCTGCTTGTGATCAGATACTATAATGTGGGAAAATATGAGATTGATGGCGGCAGAATACAGTGGGAAGAAATGCATGTCAGGAAAGAGTATACTGTTGCAGAAGTTTTAGAACAGTAAGAGACGATTCGCTTCTAATTCAGCTCTTATGAAGCCATGACATTCTGAAACTTGGAACAGTCCGCATTTTGTGTGACGAATATTTTTCGAATATTTCAGCGAGTATTTGTGTAATCCGAATGGGTAGGACACATGTGGGGTGCTGGAAGCAGAGGATAAAAATTGTCAAATTGAAAGCGATTTATAAAAACTTGAAGGTGCGCATCTTGAGAAGTTCCCAATTAAGAATTTTCTATTACCAATTGAAAAAAGCCAAGTTCTCTAGAAACACATGTTTAGATGGTACGATCGAAGAGTGTTCAACTTCACTCATAATGATTTCAGTCGAATGTGGACGTCAGTTATGAAAATCTGACTAATATGCAATTCTGAGAATTCATGTAGCGTAATATATTGTACACTTCGGAGAGATTGTATGCAGATGTGTTTTCCGAACTACGTACACATTTGCATTGCAAGCAATCATAATATTTTACTGGTTGAGCAAGTAAATGTGATTTTTAAATTTAAAAGCGATATTTTATTTTTCTTTTAAATATAACATTTTTATTAATTTCGCTTTCAATCGCTGGAATTTATTTCGTTTTCACAAGCCCAGAGATCAGAAAGTATTGTAAGAAGTTGGAGAATGTGAAACAAAATCTAACATGCACGTAGTGACGAAGATTTCGATTCCAGCTTTCGAAAAATGCACGCCGAGGGTGAGTGAGCGCAATTTAGATGAAGTCGAATATTGTCGAAATTTCACGACATCCAAGAAGAGACTTATGACAGCTCACCGTGGGTCATCCCGATCTTCTGTCGTCCCTTCGGCTGAGGAGATAAACATGCGTCACCGTGTAAACCTACGTAGTCTTCTTCGAAAATGATGCAGTAGAAAACAGCTTATTGACATCATTTAGAGCTGATTGGTGATATCGGTGTTGGCGGTATGAGGGAATAATATCTTCTCAACTATACACTACCACGTTATTCATTATTCTTCGAGAATCTTCAGTCATATTCCTTCATGAGTTCAGAGTGACGACAAAAGAATGACTTCGGCATGCACACGCGCACAGTATTTACTTGAAGAATATACCAAAAGCGGCTGACTGGGGCCAATCGACAGTTCGTTTATGCCGGACAGACGACAACTATTTCTTCAGACTCGATAAATACCTCTTCGGATAAAAACAGGAAACATTTTGATATACAGTGCAGTCTAACCGTCTGCAAACTTTGTATCTAATGCTATTGACTATTGACTATTGACTAACTCGATATCTCCAATCATCTTCACCGCTGAGGTAACCTTGGGGGTGGAAACCTTCTGCGCCATATACACTTATATGTGCTACAAGTCACCAACAAAAATGGCATCTCCATTGCTGGCATACCCCATGTACAGATTCTTTTGTGGGAAGGCCTCCTCTATAGGTGGATTCCAACTGTACTATCTACAGGAAAGTTTGAAACGTGGAGTCCGAGGAGTACTTACTGGTCGCCTTTAGACCTTCTGATTTCGGACTTGTTCCTGCGTTTGCAATAGTAACAACCAGTCTGTCAACAGTTGATCCTCAGTCATAACCTTAAAAAAAGGCATGATCCACGTGCAATACTTTAATATGAAAATTTCACCAAGATCAAGATCAATTCGCTCAATTACCTCCGTCATGTGCATGGCATGAAAGCCGAAAGGAACTCTAGTGGGTAGTTGGACCACAGCGACGGGTTCAGGGGACATCGTTTTAGCATCGATTACGACTACTTCAGATATCCTGTTAGACACAATATACGAACTCATCAGTCAGGTTTGAATCGAGGGATTCCATCCTAATCTTCTTCACAGATATATATATCTAAATCTAGAAGATTAAAGAATCACAGACTTGAAACCACGAAGATGTAATGTATATACCAGCAAGAATATCATCTGATAATATGCGTAAATACGCCTATCACTCAGACTGCATCTCACTGCAAAATCCCGAGTGTCAAGGCTGAAAAAGCCTCACGGAACTACTGAGGCCGAGTCTAATGAATGATATCGTTATCCGGTATCTAGAAACGCTTTAAGTAAGCGAAAAACTTACGATGTATTTTCGTCATGCACGAAACACATGAGATATCCATCATCTTCTTCTCCTTCTCTGCCAGGATTCTTGGGCACAAACACGGACTCGGATCCATAGCGACGATTCCCATGCCTGAAAACACCGGCCACGTTGCCACCGACCTCTAACTGGTCTTTCCCCAGCTCAGGTTCAAGTGTTAAGTCATACTTGGCAACAGCATTGATGTGAGTCGCATCCTCAAAGACAGCGGCGTAGACAAAGCGATTTTTCCTGTGATGAGGTAAAAGGAGTCATTACCGTCACTTAGATGCCCGTAAGGAAGAGCCTAGCTGAAATATTGGATGGAACTTTCAAAGAACTTATCATCTCTATCCTCACCTGCCGACGTACTCCTCGTTGATTCTTGGAAAATCAGACTGGAACTCCCCCAATTTTCTTTCTACAGCCTTTCCAGTCTTCATGTTAAATCGATACTCCCACCTGCAGAATACGTAGACAATTGCGTGGACAATTTAGCATGGACTTTTGCAGACTCGATTCTCACCGTCCCTTTCTAAATGCTATTATTGAAGTTTTTAGGGCATTTCGACGGGATCACTAGATAACCAGGAGGCTAATATCACTTACAAGTCGTTAACAAATTTCTTCACTTTTACTTCGTCGTATACTGCAATTGCTCCCAGGTCGATGCTTGGGATACGACAGGTAACAAGAACCACTTCATCGCCTTCCTCCCATGCGTTAGCTGCAGGATCGTTTCGAGTTTTGAGAAAACGCATCAGTATTTTGGCCAGGCCGCTTCTTAGAAAAGCCAGTGAAAATTCTCCATTCGAGGGAAAACACGCCAGTCAAAATACCAGAGTAAACAGAAGTAAACAAGCATCAGGACAAGCACCTAAACACTGCAAAGAAGAGGTGTTTGCGTTTCAAATTTTAAGTGAAGCTTTACCATTGTGGAAGATGACACAAGTAGTGACTTCAAACCAGATCATCTGAGATTCATTTTTGGCATATCTGGGTAATACACCAAAACGTGACGGTTTTGTATCATCGAAAGAAAATATGCACTGGTTCTTCATCACCATATCCTACAAACAACACGTACAATGTTAAGAAGCCGTCGTAGTACAAGGGCTTGAAATCATTATGAGACAAGAAACAAATGGAAATGGTCAAAACTATACAAATCACAGGAATCTGACTATTATACTGGAAACAGGAAAAGGCGTTTCTTACTTTAGGATTGAAGTAAAGAGGGCAATCCAAAAAGATGGCATAATTCTCAGTGAGGGCCATGTCGTGCATCATAACTGGTCCAGAAAGAGTAAGAGGGACTGGATCGCTCATAACGCCATCCTTGGATACAACCCTGTAAGTTGCATACGGATGAGCAATGGTACTGTACCCAAAACAGAACATTTCGCCTGAGATCCAACCAACCAACTGTAAGTTCAAGAACTAGGCGCTGGAAGTATGGTATCAATGGAATGTACAAACTCCGGAAATGTTATAGAGGTAAAAAGGAACCTGTATCTGGGTCAATTTTAGGATGCGCGGTGAAGTTGTGATTTAACTTCTTCTCATAATCAAGACGGCCGATTGTCTCAAGGTCGCCATCTTCAAGAACCCGGACAGCATCTACAACGAAGGATAATACCAACAGAGGATCAATATGCGAAAGGAAGTAGAGTCACCGGGACAGGTAAATGGTTACCGACGCCATCTTTTGATCCCGAAGTGTCACATTCTTTGGAACAAACTAACTAGAGCTCACTCACGATGCTGAAGCCAGTGCCTTCTCACAAAAGGCTCCATAAGTTTTATACACATTCATGACGAATGTGAAAGAATGAGAACATCAACATACTTTAGATATTGAATTGAAACAAGTATGAGAGCACATTCAAGTTGCAACTTTAAAGAAATGCTTGGAGTGCTCACAAGGCTTGTCTCCCTCGCTCAATGAAAGAAGACGTCCGTCATGATATACCATCGCTGTGTTGGCTGCAGAGGTAAAGCGTAGAGTATGTCAGTAATCTTAGAAACCACTGATTGACAAAAAATTAGAGGCCAGGTTAGGACGGGATTGGATTAACGAGTTTACACAATGGAAGGTTTCATATGCTACTGAAGAGAGCAAGCAAACTGTATTAAGTATGTTAAAAAGGCAAGACAACGATTTCCATCAGAAATATTTTCAAACAAAGAACCGCCTAGAACGTACCAGTAGCCATTCCGTTGCTGGTGTCCAACACACCAAGCTTCACTCTCAGTTTAAAGATATTTGCCCATATCAGACCTGCTTTGCCTTGGAGGTCCCCTATCTGGTACGGTCACAGGTGTCGAGTTCAGTCCACCAGGATTCAGTGTCTACAAATTCCGAAGCCGGCTAGCACGGGGGCTCTAGCCCTCATGTCCTAGAGATTTTACGTAGGTTACGAAGTTCAGACAAGACACGAAAATCTGTGAGGCAAGAATGTGGGCCACATTCCAAAAATGTGGCCCTAGGCATCAGATGGCGTGAGGACTGCTAAAGTCTCAAAACAAAGACTTACCTTCATAAATTTCGAGGCACCCCAGTACTCCTCTTGGGCCAATTTTGCAGTCCGCACGTAACGACAGACATAAGTGGCTTTTCCATCCTTGATTCTTAACCCATGAATCATTCTGCATTGTAAAATTGAACCATGTCACTTACAAAATGATCCCATGAGCAAAGCTTCAAATGGTAACTAGCGATAGTCCTTAGAGACCTTGTCGAACAGCTGTAGTACGTGAGATGCAAATGTAGAAACCGACAACGCTCACATCTTCATCGCGTCATCTCGCAAATCTAGAAAAACAGAAAAAGTGCCGATTCCAGAACTGACAAATCCGAATTCATATCCTGTGTGCTGATTCCATGTCTATCACGCCTTTTCGAAATTTCAGCGACGAAATCCAATACTAACACATAGTAAACTTTATCCTTTTCTCGGAATTGGCCAGTCCTTTGCAGTGCAGTGCTTATCAAAGACAAGCACGCGAAATTATATCAATTCACCAGCTCTATCCCCGTCGTAGTACTTTTGGGAAGAGGCAGGTGAACGTAACATAACTATGACTAACAGCATATTCTAAAGAGGCAAACTGAACAAATTGATGTAGTTTAAACCCAATATTGGAAGTTGAGTGCCTACCCGTCTCCATCAAACCTGCATCAACAAGTTTGCATAGATACTTCAGAGACAATTTAATAGATGGGATTGCTAATCGACAGACTCCATCTTCTCTTATGCTAGCACTCCCTAATAGATAGATAATATGAAGTAAGATACAGATAAGCTCAATCTGATCTGGCAATGCACGGAACTGGAACTAAATTAACTGTAGCAAACAAGAAATCTGACTCAGACGACTCAGGAATATTCAATCCATCGAAAGTAGAAGGCCCTCATAAAACTACGTCCGAAATTGACAACATCGCGAATGAACGACCTCATCGTAAAACTAACACCTGCTACCACGAGAGAGGCGACTGATAGTATGTTCGCGATTGCTAACGAGGCGAAAATGGCCAATCTACTATATCTCGAGAATCCTTTCAGGGGTTGATTGTAATTTTTTTAAATTAATTTTTTTCAACCCGCTCAACTGTCCACAGATGACGACAAGGACAGAAAGTTGGCATGGTCTCAAGCGTGACAATGGCTCAAAATGAGGTCCTGACTAATTGCACAAAACTCTTGGAGACGTATCTGAGGAAAATTTGCTAGTTTCCAGATCGCCCAGCGCAAGAGTTCAGGTATACCAGCGACCACAATGTCTTCCAGCTGCGAAGAAAGAAAAAGGAGACTATTCGACAGGATAGGGGAGGGTGAATACCAGTGATAGTTCGCCACAGGCTTGAGCTTCGGGTTCGGCCCCACACGTACAAATTCTCCAGAAAGACACTCCTGAGGGCACAAACATCTATTTAGAAGATATTCATGGCAAACAGGCAAGTGAAAAACGTCTCATGATGATCATCATCCTCCTCCTCCTCCTCCTCCTCCGGCAACGGAGGAATAGGAAGACAACAGTTGGAGTAAAGACTCTAAGCTGGGATCGACATGGTTTGGAGGTTCAAGAAGCAGGATTAGACAGAGACAACAGAGACCCAATTTGTGATTCTCGGCGTGTAATTGACATGATAATCCAACTCTTCTGCTTTGTGTCTGGGTCCTGCTCCTGATATACGAATGCGTTGGAACGAGTTGACGAGTTACATCCGACTGGTGAGCCTGACAAGATAAAACTTGGACTGATGTTGGAACAACAATTGAAGAGGGCAGAAGAGGCTCACAGGAAGGGTGCCCTTGACAAGAATCGCCTGGGCTGGCCCGAATTCATCAACAGGCCCATAATTGCCGCTGAGATAGTAATTGGGTGGAGCTTTCGGGTCGCACAATGCCCACACTGCGGCCTTCTCTATGGCATCGACAAACAAAGAGGCGGCCCTGGTGAAGAACCCGACTTCCTTCTCCAGCTTCGGCTTCTTGAGATCGTCGACCTCAATGCTGCCATACTTGGATTGCTGGATTGACGCACCCAAACCGCTGATGTAGCCCGACATCGCCACGAACTCCTCGGCCGCAGGCGCAAATCCGACCACGACTGCAACGCCGCGAGACAGAAAGCTCTGGCACAACCAGCCGCGCAAATGAGGCCCTGGCGACTGAGTGAGTACTTGTACTCCCGAGTGGGAGCCCGATGGCACACGTTGGGCGTTCTTGAGACTGTGGAGTCACCAGCAGCGCGTGCCGCCAAATCTCCGGGCCGAGGGAATTAGCGGCCCTTCCTCGTCCAGAAAGGGACGGAGCTCCGTGCGGCACGCAGGTCTCTCTCACACGGCCGGAGGCTCATCGAGCATCTCGAAGGCTTGAATCCATCGCTAGGAGAGCACGAGGAATTTGGACACTAGCTCGGATTTCGCCACAGTAAAAGATCTGAGGTCGAGACAGGGCCGTGATTCATCTCTCGTCCATCCTTCGGAATCCGTTTGAAATATAATTGTCCTAATAAAAGATGCTCACATGCACAGCTCCGCAGCCTGCTTCCTTTCTGCGCTCAATCATAACAGTGCTCCACGTCATTTGGCCTTGAGGTCGCATCTGTGGATGCGCGGTGCCTCTAATTTCGGCCGGCGATTTGGTGTGTTTCCAGACGGGCCATCCTGAAGCTACACGGTGGCACAGACGTTACCTCCCGCTCACATGGAGACGTATGACCTGAAACTCTTTCTCATCCACCGAAAAGCGACAGATTATTCGGTTACCCTCCTAAATCCACCGACACGTGGACAGTGATGCACCGGGCGAGGGCTTCAATATGGAAGGCTTCCTCTAATCCATATGCAGTTCAGCTGGAATATTTTGTAATCGCTCATAAGCTAAGAGGCAAACATTTCTTCACAACATTTCCTCAATATGGCTGACATTGAACTCGCCTTTATTAGATCGTCCGCTGCTACAAATGCTGAAGTTGGAGTGAGCTTCAGCACGTGAGGACAAGAACTCGTGATCGAATCCATAGAGAGAATCGATAACATAAGATGGGAAGAATAGCATTTTAAAAGAGAGTAAAATTGTATTGAGCACATGATACTCATGCTCTCACGTTGTGGAAAGCAAATGGCATCCGTCGTACAAAATGATTGCATCAGTAAAATTACCCACTACTGGATGTAAAGGGTGGAAAATTTCCCACTACCCGGCGTTGTTCGTACACTATTCTGAAATAATTTGTTGAAGATCTTTTCCGACCACAGTGTTGAGGCTTTAAAATCGGTCCACTTCCCGAGTCATAGTCAGCCCCACTTGACAAACTAAGCTCTAGCGGAACACTCTGAAGATCAGCAGCTGACAGCAGAACATTCCGACAACCCTGACGACGTTTTTTTATATAGATCACTAAATGACCATTTAGTCTGTACTAATAGCATCTCTGTACCTCGAAAGAATATACGGATGACATGAAACCCAACGTCCGAAACATTATTGATAGTTTCAGGACATTTCATTTCTTCACATTTTGATGTATGGGAAGCGCTTGAATGTGAGGAAAAAATGAGATTTATTTTCTCACGCGTCAAGGGATATACGCAGCTTGCAAGTAAAGTTACACTTTGTTCCCCTTAAGGAACAAATCACACGCTGATTTGAATAAATGACATGTAACATCCATTGCATTCAAATAACGATCATTGGAAACTTTCCTTATCAAACTCATTATCTTAGCGACTATAAACACTTTTGTATTTAAGCTTACAAGTACAAAAGCACATGATTTACTGCCGCTCTGAGGCTCCGTATCCGTTTCTAAATTATAAAGATTATGAAAAAAATTTGATAAGTCACAAGCCATAGTCGGAGAATTTTCATGCTTTATCAATGATATTCAAAACAATCCAAAGTTGTGAATGAACTCGTACAAGCAATAAAATAGTTGAAAAACACATGTCCTTGATACGACTCTACAGCTAGATTTCCTTGCCATCTACATTCTCATCTTCAACTTCACAAGAGAGTCAGAGCAACAACCATCGAAATGTCTGTCTGACAAACTACAAACATCAACTTTGTCAATCGTCAGCTAAGGTCTCAAATGTTCCTACAGAAGGCGCAAATTAGAATACAAAAAAGGATGGGAAATTCTCCACAGTTCATTCAACCTCGTCCAGTCCATTGAAAACATTCCTTGAAGTCATGACGAGAACAGCTGCGGATAGCAGTCGGCGCGTTACGTTCTGAGACAACGCAATTGGATTGATGGTAATGCTGGAGGAGGACTAGAGCACTACCTGACGACAGACAGGCACGGCTTCTCAGCGCTAGAGTAAAATATCTTGCAAATTCTCTACATGCTTGGGGCCTATGTCATCTACAGTATTTGCGAATGTTTTTGCATGTTTAATCCCGTTGCCTTCTTCTGCATGCAAAACCGAACGATGATTCTCGAGGTTAATTCGCTGTGTTGCCACATCAAGTGGATGACAGAGTCACTTACTTGGTTTCTGCATATGAACGTAAAAGGCATGCATGATCTGAGTTCATCGTCGAACATGTCTTGCAATATCACAGGCTCGTAGAGAGATATCGATTGATATCGTCTTTTGAAAGTCCGTTGTATGAAATCATTTAATATGATGAGAATCCTGTCATCTATACGTACCTTTATATTGATAAGACTGCTCATTTTCAATGACCTGCACGGCCTAAAGTGAATATGCCTGGAAAAATGATGGAAATGAATCTAGGGTCTAGATTAGTATTGTATGTATCTTTCCCTGACAATCCTCGTCTTCCGGGAAAGGTTGGCCCAACTTTTAGCCATAATTTATTCCTGATTTAACGAAAATCTGGAGAGAAACATCATGTAACACATTATATTAATCAAATAAAAATAGTCCAATGATAAAATGCAAGACAAGACGAAAGAGGGTTCAGTACTGGCTTTTGCCATGTATGAAGTCAATTTTCATCTTCATTTGCAAATGAACTTGCAGGTCATGCTATGAAATTAATTTGCAGTTTGAAAAAACTCGCCGAAGGAATGAGAGTCAGTTTTGTGATTTGCACTTACATTTTCATGAATAGAGTTGAGTTGCTTAAGTGTTTTAGAATAGACTTTGGCTTCCAGGATTTTGACATAAGTATGTTGGGCGAAAAAATTACATCTCATCTTATTGTTTGTATTTTCCAGGTTTGGTGCTTGAAGAAACTAAGGCCTCTGATTAAGACAAACATATGCAGTTTCAAAGTGTAACTGATTGAATTCTAAATTTTCTCTTCAAAATTCCGTTTGTAGGCTTGAGTATTCAATTTGTTTCTGAACTGTTTGGATTGCTGCGTGTTTTTTAACTGAAAGAAATTCAAAAAAATGTCGTGGTTTTTTTTTGGTCTGTAATGTATAATGTCATCTACACCATAATTAGTGGACATGTTCACTCAAATCCTCATTTATTATGATTTGACTCGACTGCTTGAGAGACTTCATATTGAGGTGAAACGTAACTTTATGTTTGCTTGATGTCGCATATTCATCATCGTTACACTTTGCAATGAGGTTTTTATTGCGAACGTAGTTTTTTATTTCAAGGTTTGTTGTAAAACTCTATGCTTGTGAAATAATTTGTTTGTGATGCTTGAATTTTTTTAAAAAAAATTCAGCAGTTTTTTCAGTAGGACGCGAGGAGTCTGACATGACATTGCAAGAAGTGTGACCAATCTGAAGAATGTTGACACAACTCATGTAATGGTATTCATTCATAGTGCTTATAGAATTAAAAGTATGCAGATAAATTGGCGAGCATAATTATTAAGGTTTCCTTAAGCCACTAGCAATCAAAGGCTAGAGCTTAAAATATGTCTGAAATGAATGTGGTTAAAAAATGTAGCCTTAGATTGCGGAGAATCGGAATGTGAAAAATTGGAAATTTCTTTCCCAATTTTTTGAATAATTTTTATGAATAATTCTTCAAAGATTTTGTAGAAATCTATTTAGAATTTGATTTTATGAAAGAATGTGTCTTTCAGACAAGAATTAATTTTTTAAGGTAATTAGAGTGCTTGATTATTACGTGATTGATAAAGTTGGTTTTTGTATTTAGTTAGTTGAATTGCCAAAAAAAATACTGAATTTTTCTCAACTACTAACAGCATAGTTGGATATAAATAACAAGTAGTATAACAAAACAGTCGAAAAGTAACCATTAATGTACTTTTCAGCTTTTGACCTCGTGGGTCCCACGGGCTTGATTTATTTGCCATTAAATCTTACACGTATGTGACCAAACATATAGAATAGTACTACAGAGTTAAACCTCCCGATAGTGATATATATTGGTACTTGGATTTTACGACACTATTGCGAGGTGTCACTCACTAGAGTAAAGTGATTATATCCTCCTAACAATGACATATTGTACATTGGTGTTAGAATTGGATGTCATTGTTGGGAGGTGCGTAAATTTAATATTACCTCTTAATAGTAACATATACTGGTGTTGGGGTTAGAGGTCACTATTGGAAGGTGTCAATTATTTAAAAAAAAAACTCATAGAGTTCTTATCTTACATTATATTAATATTATAACATTCTTTAGTGTGTTGTTTGGTTTCAGAATCGTCCTTATTTGCACATTTGTATTCTTCACGACTATTAACATAGACATTACAATTATGTTTGAATTCATATTAATACACACAAATCTGAGTGAAAAAATTGATGGTAATGAATTATTTTACTAAAGCCCAAAAAGAGTGAATTTTTGACCTATACCTTAAAATAAACTTATGCCATTTAGTCTCATAGCTACGTATTTTGGTCATGATAGGAATTTTTATTCCCAAATTACACTTGAAATTGTCACTATTGAAAATTATCATGTCGCTATTGGAAATAGTGACGTACCGTTCTTATTAAGCAGATTTACAAATTAGAAACTAATGGTTTTGGAATCTTATGTCACTAATGAGAGTATGTCAATTATAGGAGATGACATTATTGGGAGGTTTAACTATGTAGACCACAATAGCATCTCAAAGGCATGATAGATACATTTGAAAGTTTTAAATAATATTCGATTTCCTAAAGTATATATAAGTTCATGCATGAAGTATGGTAAATTATTTATCATGTATTGTACTATGCAATGCTCTCTTTGGAGCAATGGGTATGCTAAAACCAAGGGTAGCCGCAATTTGCATTCATTGGGAAGATGTTGCATTTGCCACATCCATTGCAAACAATTAAAAGCATGGGCAAACGCCAATATTTCTCTGTATCAAAATCAATTTTGTCTATCTTCAGGAGATTATGGTTCTTCGAAATGTACAGACACCACATTCGAGATATGATCTGAATCTGCTAATCAAGACCATC